GAAAAACATAGATTTCAATCACTATAAATTAAAGGTGTTCTGCCTTTCTGTTCAAGAAAAATAAGAAAATGTCATAGTAATATATTCGTGTAATGTTTCATGGGTGGGTTCTAATACTGTATTGAAGAATCGTTATAATGTTAAAATAAACACCTTTGTTACTTCGACTGCTAAAAGGATCTAATTATGACTATATAATAGACGAGCATAGAACATAAAGTTTGTATAAACTATAGACAAAAATAATCTAATCATGAAAAGATAAAAAAAGAGCAAATATTTACATGAAATATAATAACAACAATGACCAGATAAATAAAGAGCAAACATTTACATGAAATATAATAACAACAATGACCAGATAAATAAAGAGCAAATATTTACATGAAATATAATAACAACAATGACTGGATAAATAAAGAGAAAATATTTACATGAAATATAATAACAACAATGACCAGATAAATAAAGAGCAAACATTTACATGAAATATAATAACAACAATGACCAGATAAATAAAGAGAAAATATTTACACGAATTATAGTATTGACAAAAGTAATTTGAAAATGAACAGATAAGTAGAGAAAAAATATCTTTTTTGTTTTGTTTTATTCTCAAATCCTAATAATGTTATTTTGGGTTATAAAGTGCTTAGGACTTTCGATTACATCACATTAAGTGTTTTCTGTATAATTTGTTGTTACTCTACTCCAGTTTCTTACAAATATTGCTATTTTTATTTCTCCTACAGATATATATTTTTCAATTGCATTCTCAAATGTGATAAATATTCCCAAAATTTGGCGTTTTTACTGTTACACCAGATTGGTGTAATAAATCTAGTACAATAACAAAGAACTCATAAGGGAGCGGACGGGTAATACTTCGAAGTATACTGCAGCGAAATCTTCTAAAGCTCGATGATTGATGTTTCATGTCGAGGTCGGGAGTACTTTAAACGCATCAGCTACGTCATGCACAAGTGCAGGAGCATGAGGCTATTGAATCACGTGCGAAGACTGACATTCGATAGTTTTGAAAATTCTGCTCCTGATAAGATTGAAGGGTATTGAATAAATTCTAAGTTATTCGCATCATTCCTCAGATGTGGACATGTTTATTTCAGTAGTCGCAGCCTTGTGTTATTGTTCTTATATATCCCATTGCTAAACCTTAAAAAGAAAAACTTGGTATTTGTAGCGTAGCGCATACCAGAAGTCTGATGAACGAAACGAGAAAACCGACTTTAATTGAATTATAAGATGAACGAAACGATAAAATCGATTTTAATTGAATTATAAGATGAACGAAACGATAAAATCGACTTTAACTGAATTATAAAATCTCCATATAGAGATAGTCTAACCGCGAATTAGAATGAAACGTAAACTTGATCTTCAAATTTAACACTTCTAATAGGCTATCTATTTTATATAACGTTTAATAATAAAACCTATCATTTTCAAATCACCGAAAGTTCCCATTACATATGCAAATTGAATAAAGAACGAAGTTTTTGATTTTCTTGTCAATGTCATAAGGACTAATGTTGTATTGACCCCATAAATATAAATCTTTAGACAAATAAACTTCAAAGCGAATATTAATTTAGAAACTATCAATTTTACATTCATCAATAATCTGAATATTAATTAACTCCTCTTAGTTTTCTTTATAATTGATCTCTAGAATCCCAGTTTAAACTTTAACTAATAAGTTCGTCTCTTGTTCATTACAGTTACTGAGAATTTATCGGATTTTATAAGAAAGGTCCTTCAGGTCTTGTACTGCCTTTACAGATACTTCCGCTATCACTGATCGTGTTTATTCTGATAGCCATGATTATGCACTACTGCCTGGCACCACAGTTTCTATTGTAACAAGTTTCTGTGAAGGACAGCGAGTCAATCTTGCATCTCACATCTTCCCATAAACCCTCCATTGTACTTCTTCCAAAACCGCGTTTAGGCAGATCAAAGATACAGCAATGCATCGGAGTTGCATCGGAGAAACTGACAGGTATTTGGTCGAATGAGATTGCTAGGATTTCCGTTCATTCGCCCATATTTCACAGGAAAACGGCTGCTGCTTTCGAGGTGTAGCTGCAAGCTTGTAAAAATTTAGCTTGTGAGCCTTTTTCAACTTCAAATCCTTCTCTGTTGTCTTTCTAACGGTACCGGGGATATGTCAAATTTTATCGAAATCACTTTTGGAGTGATAGAATTCGCTTCTATAACCATACTCTTCGCTTTGCGGATTAGTTCGTTGCTTCGGATTGATTGACTTGGATGTTGTTTCGGAGGCCGTTATGTCCTAAGCGCTCTGCTACGAAAGACCTTCTGCATTCATGAAGAATATTTCGAAATTTTGTGCATTTTGTCTATTGCGTCTTTTATCAACCTTGCTATATATATATAATATATATCCTTTCACAGAAAGGGCTGTGACATATTTTTCCAGGCATAGGTGTACTCGTCACGACATTGCACTGTTGAATGGCCGAGAATTCTCCGTGAATTAAATATATATTAGTGTTAAATATGTCATTCGTGGCGCCATATCTGCACTGATACGTTACGACATAACCGTATGTAAATCATTCTTTAAAAGTGTGAATAAACTTCTGTACTTACTCTAACTGATTTTATCCTCTCAGAATTCAAGTATATAGTGCGATGAAACCTCCCTACTTACTCTAACTGATCTTACACTCTCAGAGTTCGAGTACAATCTGTTACTCTATGTAGCTGATGATTTTTTCCCCAGCGTTCCAGTATAAATCTTATTCTAACTGAATATTGTACAGCGTTTGTTATTAACAGTTTAGAATATTTAGTTATAATGTTAATAAACAGAATAGTAACTCTAAAACAATAATTAAGTATAAAAAAGGCTATCAATTTCTCAAAATTTAAGAGTGTGTGAACTTTAATGATTCTCCAGTGACCCAGACCTGTAACCAAATTCGTGTACAGACCATTTAGCGGAAAATTCATTATCGATTTATTTACAAACAAATGTATATCTATAAACTAAGGGAAGCGGGGTATATTAATAGACGTGGTGTATATTTTGTATTTGTTAATAATTAAACGTGTAGTGTTTAACAATTAGGGTAATAATATTTACGTGGACACGGAGAGGAATAACTTTATTATTTAACACTAACAAAGTAAAAATCATAACCACACATTTGGTATTATTACATTAGAAAAACGTACAGTACTTTAAGCTAGAAAGAACCTATCACGAGTAACGCACTAACCAAAAGAGAAAGATATCTGACGTATATGTATGGTGATTTTTTTTAAAGTACAGAATGGTAAGAGTTCTCTTCTTCACATCAAAAGTTTGTCGAAAGAGTAAGTGAAAGTTCAGTTTGTTCTTGGATTGGCCATATGTTACCAAGTTACACTGGGTTGCATCTGTGTGACTGTATTATCCTGACGACCTTTTGATTAAGCTTTAGTTTTCCTTTTAGCTTATGTTACTTCAAACGCACTTTTTGTCCAGTAATAACAACAATCTTGGAAATAACCAATATTCAGGAATAGACTGAATTCCTTGTAGTTTGTTGTCGTTAGTTGAATTATTCATGTTACTGTGTACAGAGAGAAACAACTGTGGATGCTAATGTACAAGCTATATCCCACTGGAAACCAATATTCAGGAATAGACTGAATTCCTTGTAGTTTGTTGTCGTTAGTTGAATTATTCACGTTACTGTGTACAGAGAGAAACAACTGTGGATGCTAATGTACAAGCTATAACCCACTGGAAATGTGGATGCTAATGTACAAGCTATAAGGGTAGTTTAAAGTGTGCAATTTAAGGTTCGGTAAAGACAAAAATGTATTTTTATGTTTCCAGTGGGTTATAGCTTGTACATTAGCATCCACAGTTGTTTCTCTCTGTACACAGTAACGTGAATAATTCAACTAACGACAACAAACTACAAGGAATTCAGTCTATTCCTGAATATTGGTTTCCAGTGGGATATAGCTTGTACATTAGCATCCACAGTTGTTTCTCTCTGTACACAGTAACGTGAATAATTCAACTAACGACAACAAACTACAAGGAATTCAGTCTATTCCTGAATATTGGTTTCCAGTGGGATATAGCTTGTACATTAGCATCCACAGTTGTTTCTCTCTGTACACAGTAACATGAATAATTCAACTAACGACAACAAACTACAAGGAATTCAGTCTATTCCTGAATATTGGTTTCCAGTGGGAAATTAGCGTTGATATCCTTAGGAATGTTGTTTCTAATTATTTAATTGAGTTGTTCTAAACTGGATTTTTTATTATTTTTTTACAAAACTGTAACACCAATCTCCATTTCTATCATGACAGAAATTGTTCACACGTACAGCAAAGACGAACTGCATATCAGGTTTATTACTTCTAAGTGACATGAATCTTTTACTCCCCTTAGACTATTATTATTTTAATGGGTGAATATTATTACTTTTCCAATGTTTCTTATGATGAGTTCGCGCACAAAGAAAAGAGAATTAAGATTTAAAGAAAAAGACGTAATTGTAAGTGACAAAGTTAATCTTTCTATCACACGAACGGTATCGTAACTTCGTAATTTATACTTACACCCAGCAATGCTAAGTTTTAACATTGTATAATGTAATGTTATAGATACTGATAATTATTCCAATCTTCGTGTTTTACCGCTGAAAAATGTTTTTTTTTCTTTTTCACATTACTCGTCGGATAGTGCGTAATTATGTTTAATGAACGAAAGTTATCTTTGATATCGATTTGATATTTGCATTTGTTTTGTAAAATAGCTAAAGTTTACTCTCTTGATCTTTCTGCGGACTTACAACGCTAGAAACCGAGTTTCGATACCCATGGTGGGCAAAGCATTGATAGCCCATTGTGTAGCTTTGTTCTTAACTTCAAACAAACAAACAAATTGATCTTTCCAGAAGATCCAAGCTGTACTTAAGTTGTTATCTGGAACTGTTGAAATCAACTCAAAATTCGCAATCAATAGAAACCTAAAATAACAAGAAAGTTTAGTTCAAATTATCATTTTTTTTAGATAATATTAAATTTTGTTTTATTGAAAAACTGTTGTTCTCATGGATATTATTTTACCCACAAAACAAAAAACAAAATGTTTACTTTGCTCATCGATCTTTATAGCCCCCCCCC